GAGCGCGTTTTTCAACCAAATTCGCTGAAATTCGGTAATTGGGTACCAAATTTTCCCACTAAAAATTATAAATATAGGTCCACTGTAGACCATTTTCAAAGACTCCATGTTTAGACATCCTGCCATATTTCCGTCTTGGCTGACCTTGGCTGTAACTTGGCATTTCAATGCAGATCAATTGGAAATAAATATCCTCGTATTACGTAAATATCTTTAATGAAGATTTTGATGGTTCAAGGTAAATGAAATAATTGTTTCCACAATATTTTCAATGTAAATTTTTAACCACCGTAGAATGGACTCCCTGAATTGTCCATACCTTAAAGTCCCTTGTCTAGTTTTCCAACCAGAATGGCTATAATTTGGTATTCAATTTTCTCAGAGCACAAATAGCCTTCGAGTAGAGCATTTACAACGACGCAGTCAACATGTAAAGGTCCCAACCGATGAAAGGAATTTTGAATGTACACCACATGGTGAGGAGTATTAAGAGTTCCGCCCAATATTAAATTTTTCAATGGACTTATAAAAAAAGTTTGTAACGCCACGTATTGAAGGTCTCTCAATGCTCATAATCGATAATGCCTGACATGAAGTTAGCAGGCCACCGACTGAGTTTCCAAAAAAAAAGGAAATTGTTGTTTGGCCTAAAGGAACAATGAACAACACACTTTAACAACAAATCATTACAAATCCTCAACACATCAACAACAACAACTCGTATGAAACAACAGAGATGATGATTTCGTCCCTTATTAAATACCACTCAAAACCAATAAACAAAACAAAGGTTGTCGATACCAAAAAAAAAAAAAAACAGAGAACGCATTTCACTTTCTCCATAGTGTTTTTGTTTTTGCTTTTCATTTCGTATTGACCACTTGTTTCTTCTTCATTGAGTTTGGGTTTTGTTTTTGCCCTTTTAACTGTTGCACACACAGTCATGGTTTACTTTTCGGAGCTGTGTTTTTGGCCCGGAATTATTGCGTTTACAAATTATTTCGCTAAGTGTATTTCGACAACGGGGTTGTTTTCTGTTTTTTGTTGTTGTTGATCAATGTCGTCCCGCCTTGAGTCCCGACTCATTTCGAATTTGTAAGTAGAATCAGTGTTAGTGTGACAACTGAAGTTATCGGTCGGTCGGTCGATATTTACCTGCCTGCCTGCTTCTTCTGCTGTTGGCCGTTCGATTGTTCGCTCACCCGCTCGATTGTTAAACGTTCATGTGATTAAAGCGATCGTTTTTGTTTTTTTGATTTGTATATCTCTCACTCAGCCCGAAGAAAAGTATGTAGAGGAATTTTTTGTTTTTTATGTTCATTTAGTTTTTTTTTTTTGGAAATATTAAATTATTTTTACACACTGCAGACACATTAATGAATTTTTGTTTAATTTTTTGGGTTGTCTTCTCTGCCGTTTTTTTGGTGGTGGATTTTTTTAGAAAGTTTTTTTCTTTCTTTTGTTTTAATTTAGTTTTTGGCCAATTGGCTTGGGTTAAGGTTCACAAAATAATACATTGAGGAGTGATCGAAGACCAAAGACTATTTTATAATAAAAATTATGGATTTATCACCACCGGTAAGTAAAAATGAAAAAAATATTTTACATTGTTTTGTATTCTATGTTAAGATATACGAATTTGTAGTGAAGAAAATATAGCATCGTTTACAAAACACAAATTCAATCGGAATTGTTTACCATATTTGTTTGACAAATTAACATACATGCGTATGTATCTCGGGTGTATGTGTAATAAGGTAGCCCCGTACTGTAATTGCTACTGTGTAATAAAAAATTGTAGAGATTTCCCATCACTGTTAAGATTATCAAGAAATTCAAATCCAAGGGAATCTAATACATAAAATACTCATGTGTGACATCTCAAATTGTTATCGAGGTTCAGGGTCTGGTTATTCGATTTGAGTGATTGATCCATGATATTGATGGAGTGGAAAAAGAAACACAAACCGAAAGCGGAGCAGTATAGTCGGACGGCACCGACAACATATTCTATAATTTGAATTTTCTTATGATACCCTGCACAACTTACAAATTTTACGAGATTTAGCCTGAGCTAAATTGTATCTATATTTACATTATTTTGTGTGGTAGGGGTAATGTTAAAAAATACAAGACTTTTTAGACAACTTTTTGAAAATTTTTACACGTCCTTCACACAGATTATCATAACAGGAGCCATGCCTATTAGTCGACCAGATCCTTTACCTCGTGAGCATATAAAATGAAACGAGATAACCCCATAGTTACTTTTGAGGATATGCATAGAATCACTTTCTGAGTCGATTTATGCATGCCCTACTGTCCGTTCGAGTTCAAATTACAGGTCGCATTTACGATCCGAATTGGATGAAATTTTGGTACATCCGAATTTTATTTTGCCTTAGAGCGGACCTTATTGACATTGATGAAAATCGGCCCAGATGTTGATATAACGTACTAAGTTGAGTCTAGAAACCTAGGTCAATATGTAGCTCCCATTAATATATATTTTCGTCCGATTTAGTATAAATGGAGCTCCAAAGTTTGTCCAAGTGACACAGAATTTTGCACAGTGTACTTAATGTGTAGAATGACGTCAGTTAGTTTTAATTGGAATCGGAATATAGGCATCTATTTATAAGCCAAAATTTTTCACGGTTCATTTGGACAACAGGTGTGGATTTTTATACCCTACACAACTATGTTGTCAGGGTATATATTAGTCCTAGACTCACCTTTAAGTATACCGATCATATCTCGACTAGCTGAGTCGATCTAGACATGTGTGTCCGTCCGTCCGTCCGTCTGTCCATTATAATCCAGGTATGGTCAAGGACAACGCCTGTAATTTTCGGTGATGAACAGATAATCATATTGCGATAAAGTGGACCGAAAACTTAATTTTTTGGGTTTTTTCGAGTCGATCTATAGGTCACAATTGAAATCCGAACATAACAACACAACCCACGGTGAAGGTCAAGAGAGTGCAAATATTGCCCAAGCTCAGAATATAGTACCACAGAAAGTTAGATTTTCGTGGAAGTTGTGTAGGGTATCATATGGTCGGCGCCGTCCAACTATACTGCTCCGCTCACTGGTTTAATTAATATTTTGTAGGTCCATTAGGACTATATACGTGGAATTTTGAAACAACATTTTTTAAGGCCCATTAGGACTACAGGCGTGGGATTTTTTTAAACAATATGTTTAAAGGTCCACTGGGACTGCTAGCGTGGATTTGGATTTTTAAAACAAAATTTTTGAAGGCCCATTAGGACTACATTCGTGGATTTTTGGAAAAAAATAAGGTCCATTAGGACTACATGCATGGATTTTTTAACCAATATTTTTAAAGTCCATTGGGACTGCTATGTGCAGGTTTTGAAACTATATTTTTTAGGTCCACTGGAACTGCTTGCGTGGATTAGGACAAAAGGCGTAGTATTTTCAAGGTCCATGGGCAATTTTATAGGTGGAGGTGATCATCATCAATCTTCCACCCACTGAGATTTCGATACAGTTACTTCATACGTCCATATCGGACGATGAGTGTATATGCAGAGCCAAACAAGAGTAGTAGAAATGTTTGTGCTAAAAATCACAGAGCTCTATATTGAATATTGTAAGGATTTAAACAGACTGACTAAACTGTCATATTTTTATTTTGATCTACGGAATGACTAGTCATACCATATTTTAAGTATACAATATCTCGACTAGGTAAGTCGATCTAGATATATGTGTCCTTCCGGCCGTTCGTCTATTATAATTTGTAAACACGATGCAGGCCACAGAAGACCCCTTTTTAGTCTTATTTTCTGGTCGCTCTAGAGGCCACAATAATGATCCGAACACCATTAAATTTTACATTAGGAAGGGAATCTGGCTAAAGTATGAGCATTTTTTTGATTAGGATCGGTCAATATTTAGCGGGCCAAACGAATTCAGACTTTTCTGTGAATAAATGAAATTGTATTGTGGGGTGTATATATTTTTTCTCCTAACCGAGAAGTTGGCAGCATATCCAAGAGGATATATGTTTATATGTTAATACGTCTATGTGTTATGATATTGAATTGCTATTACCCCACTAGAGAGAGGAAATTTTGCTCTGATTGCTTTGAAATTTTACATGAAGTTCAGGTAATGGTGCCTATAATTTTCGGCGATGTTGAGATGATATTTAGCGGTTACAATGAACCGAAAATATTATTTTTGTCAGATTTGATAGTCACTGTATAGTCTATTATATGCAGAACGTCAAATATTTTACACGGGATGGGATTTCACCAAATACTTAGAACGGCTGTTGAGAGGGTCAAATCATTTTTATTTATTTTTTATTTTATGGCGTAAATATTCACCTCGGGGAAACAACATTTGGAAAATATACCAAGGTTAGAAAGTGGAGCTTTTGACATACTATCGTTCAACAGGGTGTGAATATCGCGAAATACTGCCATGCTCAAAACATATGATTAGCCCCTTTCCGCTATTCTGCTCCTTGATACACCTGCCATGGTACTTAAAAAAATATGTCTTATTAAATCCACGTGTATGGTGGTCCTTGGTACTTACAAATCGAGATATCCTTTGGACAAATATTAGAGGATTATTTTCCAATAGTCCTGAGATTTAAGTTTAAAAAAACATAGTGCTATGTGTTCAAAGTCCGTTTATATTAATTGCAATATATTAATTTATCCCAACGTATCATTATAAGAAACTAAAACCAAAGAATTCTGAGTTTAACTTTAAAATAAATGTGAGTCATAATCTTGATTAGAAATTCCCCCTAAAGCGACTGCAACGAAATGCTAGTATGTTTTCTGACCACAAGAAAATTCCACGCAATTCTAACATTCCTTCGAGATGTGTCAGCTAACCACGTGTTTCCTTTTAACTGAACAGCTACCTGCTACCTTTGTAAACATCTCTTCCTCATTTATATCCTTTTCTTGTTTTTGTATAAATTTTTGTTTTTTTCTTTTTCTTCCCCAATGTGCATCTATTTTTAGCAACTCTTTGCCATTGTTGTGGCCTTAATAGTATTTCTTGTATGGCTAGTATTTATCCGTGTGCGTCATCAGCCCTCGGGGCCATTTGGTTTGCCACTGCTGGGCTATTTGCCATTCATAGATGTTAAAGCACCGCACAAGACACTGCAACGGTTAGCTGTGAAATATGGACCCATCTATAAACTGCAAATGGGCAGTGTCAATGCCGTAGTTTTGTCAGATGCTGCCTTGGTAAGGGAATTCCTAAAGCGTGAAGAATTCACGGCACGAGCACCGCTATATGTAACGCATGGCATTATGGGTGGTTATGGTAAGTATGGCAGAGATGTGTGTGCACACACAAAACGAAAGATTTAAGAAACGAACATGGTGTTGGGATAATTTGTGGACGGTTGCAATAATAAACATTTATAATATTTAATATACTTATTAAATAATAATTATTTTAATTGTATTTTTAGAAATATTAACACTTTTTATTTTATTTATTTTTATTTTTATTTTTTATTTTTAACTTAAAAACTAAAGACTTTGGATACACAATTTAAACTAACCTCAATTATTTTTAATAAACAAAAATACAGCTGCTAAGTAAACCACATATTTTTATAACTCCATCAAACATTTGTTTCCCTTTCTCGTTTTTCTATCCCCTCTTCAACACAGGTTTAATTTGTTCCGAAGGTCCTCTATGGAGAGATCAACGACGTCATACAATTGATTGGCTCAAAGCATTGGGTATGACGAAACAATTTGCCGAACTGCGTAGTGGCTTGGAACAGCGCATCCTCAAAGGAGTTCAGGAATGTGTACAGGTAAGTGATACGAAAAAGATATTAAGAACAAAAAAATCATCGCAAAGAAAGAGCAGCATTATACAATGTTGCAGAGACAAGTTATAGTCCTAAATGGTTTCGTTTTTTATCTTTGCTGATTTTTTGCGGTATATCCTGTCTGTCAGTTTGACTGAGTCATAAAAATGAATGAATGAGGGTCTTTTTCGGTTCTTCTTAATGCTGTTGTGTTGTAGACATATTACTAAGAATAACGAGGGTAGTTTTCTAAATTGGGGAAACATATAATGGCCAGCTTTAAGTGCTTAGAGGACTATAGAATACAAATTGTGTGGTGACAGGTGCAGTGTCTATTTTACCCCTATTTACTCCTGAAGGACCTAAATCGGTGAAGTTGACAGTATATCAAAGAGGAGTGGCTGACCTTTAAATTGACACCAATTATATAGTTGTATGTAATCGGATGTGGGAGTTTTATTTATATACTTACCGCAGCTCCTCTGCGGCATCTTTGACGTCTAATCGAGCAAAAGACAGCAAACACCGCGAAATATTACCCAGGCTCGGAATACGATATAGACTCGCACAAACTCAGGGATCAGTGGTAGTTGTGTAGGGTGTCCTATGTTCGGCCCCATTCGACCATACTTATCCGCTCACTGGTTTCAGCTCTCATTGGATAATCTTTCTACCAAAGGTTAAAAATATCGGTGGATTTAAGGGTATATCCCCCATATGGGTCTAGCTTCATTTTCACCCCACATTTTCAGTGAAAGTTTACATTACTATAATTTTTTTTCACTCCGATTAGGACACCTCGAAATCTTGGGTTTCGAACGCATCTTCTGACGCCATCCATTATTTCGTGTTGTGCATGAATAAAGTAAAGTCATTGTGCGCCAGGTTGGGTATGAATTGATCGCCCTACGGTGTTCAAGCGGAACAGTTGCCCCATGACCAGTTTTGTCAAACAAAGAGACGATAATTTGCTCCAAAATGTTTTGGCTCATATACTATAAACTCACAGGGTCAATTTTTGTTTTGTTTGAATATTTTATGCATAGATTTAAAAATCAATGTTCTAAAGAATATTTTTTTTTTCAAGAATATGTGCGTACTTTCAAGGATACGCCTACCTATAATCGTAGGTTTTCAAAGAATATTTTTTCAAGGCCCAGTTTAGCTATAGGCTTGCATTTTCTAAAAATATTTTTCAATGGCCAGCTGTGGTTGCGGAATTTAAAAAAAAAAAAAATATATTAATTTCTATGGCGGATTAAAAAAAAAAAAAACAATTCTATGACGGATTTAAAAAAATAGTCTTTTTAAATGGGCAACTGTGGATGTGGGTTTTTGAAGAATGTTTTTTTTTTTTCAAAGTTCATCCTAGCCAGCTGTGGTCGAGGATTTAAAAAAAAAATTGTTTTCAATACCTTTCACTAAACTGTGCTACAGGGTATTATGTCTCCGTACTTATGCTTGCAACAGACAAAAGTAATCGAGATAGATACATGGTTACTTTTGAGGTAAAGCATATAATCGCTTTCTGAGTCGATTAATTCATGACCTTCCGTCTGTCCAAGTTAAATTTTAAAAAATTTACAGATCGAATTTATGATCGGAATTGGATGAAATTTGTCAAACGTCACTTACTTGGTCTAAGGACGAACCCAATTGAAATTGGAGTAAATCGGTTCAGATTTATATAAAGCTCCCATATAACAAAGTATGTTAGGGTTTAAATGGGAAAAAGGAAAGTCCAATTAATATCCACAGAGTGGACCCTTCGGTATAATATTACTAAGCGGATATAAATCTGCAAACAAAAGAGCATAAATCACAACCAGTTTTGATAGAGTATCCGGAGGAAGCGGTTTAGTACTTGTTTAATGTCCAAAATTAATTTTTCATGTCCAGATCTTGCAGTTTTTTAAATATTTTACATTATTACTTTTAGTGCTTAAAATTGATATATTTGCAATGTTAGATATTAGGTTCGTATACCGAACTTTAATATTATTATTTATATATCTTTGTAATGATTTATATTTGATTCTAAAAAATATTTAACAAAAGTGGTGTTTTAAAATCACCATTTCATTTCTTATGAACACACATATTTACCTTTTTCCTAAAAAGCTCATCGTAATTCATTCACTGAATTTGGCTGTTGGGTCAAGATAACGAAGTTAGAGCATTCGACAAACAACGAAGATAATCATCATCATGATTGAAATTACGTATAAATATTTATGTGTATGCATGTTTGACCACCTCCAATATAACATTATATTGGCATTTGTTACGAAGTGAAGGTTAACTTTCCGGTATAACAGTCCGTCCGACTGTTGTCTGGCAATATATGTATGCAGCTTGCCTCCTGCTATCCATTTGCCAGGCTGATTCATTGATCAGTGTATTTTTTTTTTATTTTGGTTGGTAGTTTGACGGACTGTCGTATGGTCAGTCGTTTGGACGATTTGTCTCCCTGCTTGATTTAAGGCATTGTTTGACTCTTCATTTCGTTTTTTTCCTTTCCATTTTAATTTTGCTTTTACTGCAAAAATACAGAAATGTCCATTGCCTTAGGAATTTTGAGCAGAAAAAATGTAGCCTAGAAGGGAGTGATGGGTTTTGGAAGTTTTCCATAGAGATCAGCTATAAGAATATCTCTTTTGTCTTTTATAAGATGGCCTCTTTGGTCTTCAATAAGATGGCCTATGTTGTCCTCTATTAGAAGGCATTTGTGGTCATATATAAGAAGACTTCTGTGGGTTTCTATAGGAAGACCTATATGGTCGGTCTAGTATAAGATGATTTCTAAAATCTTCGATAAGAAAAACTCTATGGTCTTCTATAAGAAGACGTTTATGGTCTTCTATAAGAAGACATCCAAGGTTTTCTATGAAAAGATATCTGTGGTTTTCTATAGGAAAATATCACGGATCTATTAAAAGAAACATTGTAGGGTTTTTTAAAGGAAGACCTCTGTAGTGTATATGGTCTTCTATAATAAGACATGTATGGTCTTTTTAAAGAAGATATCTACGGTCTTCTGTAGAAGACCTCTAGACGAGAACCTCTAGAAGAAAATTGTTATCTTCTTCTATCAGAATAACTTTATGGTCTTCTGTGGTTTTCTATAGGAAGACTTCTATGGTATACTATACCCTGATCTCTAAAAGATTCGAAAAAAAAACATCCTTGGCCTTCTATAAGAAGACATCTATGGTTTCCTATATGGTCTACTGTAAGAAGACATCAGTGGGTTTTCTATAGGAAGATCTCTAGGATCTATTATAGGAAAAACGTTGGGGTTTTTTACCTCTACAATCTATAGTCTTCTATAAGAACTGTATTGTGTTTGTTAAGAAAACATCTACGGTCTTCTGTAAGAGTACATCTATGAAATTTTTTAACAAGACCTCTAGAAGAAAACCTTTTTCTTACTCTATCTGAAGAACTCTATGATTTTTGATAAGAAGACCCCTATTGTCTTCTATAAAAACACCTCTACTGTCTTCCCTATAAAGGGTTCTATGGGATTCCATAAAAATACCTCTATGGTCTTCTGTAAAAAGAAAATCAGCAAGGAAAGTAGTAAAGTCGGAATGGGCCGAATAATTGATACACTTCACCACATTGGGTGTATTGTACATAAGTATCCTAAGAATTGCAATAAATCTGAACCGATTTTCTCGAAACTTAACACACATCATTGAAGACTTAATTTACTATACTATGCCAAATTTCATGCAAATCGAAGGATATATAGGTTCATAGGTGTACCATTAACAATAAATCGGACGAAATAATATATATGGGAGCTGTATGTAAATCCGAAACGAGTTTCTCGAAACTTAACACACATCATTCAATACTTAATTCAGTATGCTATGACAAATTTCATGCAAATCGAAGGATATATAGGTTCTTAGGTGTACCATTTACAATAAATCGGACGAAAATATATATGGGAGCTATATATAAATCAGAACCGATTTTATTTATATTAGAAGACCTATGTGGTCTTCTCTATTGTCTTCCGTTTAATATTTACCTTTTGTACTTATACCATTTTCCATATCAACGGTTCATTTTCTCTGTATTTCCATTATTTGTGTGTTCTCAACTTCATCTACATTAATGCATTTGTATTCATGTGTTTTTTTTTGTGTTTTGTTCCTCTTCTTTCTTTATTGCAGTGTCTTCAAAGCGATTCTAAGAATTTATCAATGGCCGTGAATCCACTGCCAGCACTTCAGCACACATTGGGCAACATAATGAACGACTTGGTGTTTGGCATCACATATGCACGCGATGATGTCACTTGGCGTTATTTGCAGGAGTTGCAGGAAACGGGCGTTAAACTAATCGGTGTTTCGGGGGTAGTCAATTTTCTGCCATTCTTAAGGTGAGTCAGCCAAATATCAACAAACTGTAAAATTAAAAAAGCGAAAGTGATGCATTGCACTGCAGCAGCAGACAATCGCTGGCAGGTAGTTGGGTAGAAATAAACAGAACAATAAGTCATGACACACAACAAGGTACAAGGACAAAGAAAAATTGACTTATCATCTTCTACACACAATTTTTTTATTTAAAGTTAAGGAAATAACAAAATTGTTTTTTCCTTCCTCTAATTTTCTTTTTCACCGATGCAGATTTTTACCTTCCAATCGTCGTAACATTAAATTTTTACTCGATGGCAAAACAAGAACCCATCAAATCTACGATGATATTGTACGAAAATGTGAAGAGAAACTGCAAAAGAGAAAATTCAATCCCACCAAAGAATCTTTGAAGAATACCTGTATTTTGGAATTCTTCTTGGAACAGCGAGAAGAATTGAAAAATCATGTTGATCTCTATCATCGTTCGAAATATGATGAATATTTTTGTGCTCCCCAACTGCGCCACCTGTTGGCCGATTTATTTGGTGCTGGTGTTGATACAACATTGTCAACACTGAGATGGTTTATTCTGTATATGGCTAAGGAGCAAGAAATTCAAAGGGCGTTGAGAGAGGTAAGTTCCGTCAAAAATTAATTAAAAATTTCATAACAAAATCATTTAAATTTTAAATTATTTTCATTATTTTATTTTCATTTCCATTCATCTTTTAATTTCAGCATTTACAAAAACTACCCAAAGACAATGTAACACTAAGCGATTTGGAAGAAATCGCCTATTTGCGTGCTTGTATATCCGAAGTGCAACGTATACGATCGGTGGTCCCTCTAGGCATACCACATGGTACCAAATGGAATGTCCATGTCAATGGTTATGGTATACCAAAAGATTCGATGGTTTTACCCCTGCAATGGGCAATACATATGGATCCGAAAGTATGGCCTGAACCTGAAAAATTCAATCCACAACGATTCCTCAACGAAGATGGCAGCTATCAAACATCTCCAAATTTCATACCATTTCAGACAGGCAAACGTATGTGTCTGGGTGAAGATTTGGCACGAATGTTGTTGTTGCTATACACCGGTCTTCTTATGAGAAATTTCGAATTCCATTTATGCCAGGAAGATGAACCAAATGTTGATCAAATTTTTGAAGGTGAATGTGGTATTACATTGACACCGAAATCATATCGTGTTGTATTAAAAGAAATTCAATAAAAATGCAATATTTATATATTATTGTTTAATGTAATGGAATGCTTAATTTCAAAAAAGAAACCAGTAAGGAAAGTAGTATAGTCGGAATGGGCCGACTATATGATATTGTACATATGTACCTTTACACTTGCATTTTAATGTTCCATCGGAGGAACATACTCATGCCTTTCTGCAACCTATGCTAAATTTAATTTAATTCGGGCAGATTTAGAGTCGTCTGCGTACCATGGGACAAATTTATGGAAAACGATGCATAGCAAAATCGATACACGATATTCGGTACATGGAAGCTATCTGCACCAATTTCAACAAAACGCAATACAGTCATTCAAGGCTCCATTTGAAATTTTGGCAAAATTTCGTTTTAATCGGACAAACATTAGGTGTTTGGTGCACCATATATGTATATGGGTGCTATAGCTAAATCTGAACCGATTTTCGCGAATCTTAAACTCATCGTTCTAGACTCAGTACACTATGCCAAATTTAGTGCGAATCGAAGGACATATTGGGACTTTGGTGCACTATTTACATAAAATCGGACGAAAATATATGTGGGAGCTATATCTAAATCTGAACCGATTTTCACGAAAATTGACACACATCGAAATTTCCGGCAAATCGAAGGATATATAGGGACTTTGGCGCACCATTTACCTAAAATCGGATGAACATATATATGGTAGGAGCTATATCTAAATCTGAACCGAATTTCAGAAAACTTTACACACATCATTCTAGACTGAATTTAGTATGTCATGCCAAATTACGTGGAAATCGAAGGATATATAGGGACGTTGGTGCACAATATACATAAAATCGGACGAAATTATATATGGGAGCTATATCTAAATCTGAACCGATTTTCGCGAAACAAGCCACTCATCATTCTAGACTTAATTCAGTATGCTATGCCCAATTTCGGGCAAATTGATTGATATAAAGGGACTTTGGTGCACTATTTACATAAAATGGGACGAAAATATACATGGGATCTATATCCTTGGGCCAAATAAGTGACCTATGTCAAATTTCATACAATTCGGAGCATAAATACGACCCGTACTTTGTTTACAATTTAACATGGACAGGGGGACGGACATGCATAAATCGACTTAAAAAGTCGACCAAATTGTACCAAATTTAGTGTCATTTCCAAAACTTTCCACATACCCCAATCCTACACACAACAGTGATCCTAACTTCACATGTCAATATTCCAGCGATATCGGTTTACCTAAATCCTTATTTGGTACCATTTTGTACACATTGGTACAAATTTCCAAAAACTTTCTACATATCCCAATCCTATACCCTAACAGTAACCATATCTCCAAATTTCAGGATTCCAGCTGTATTGGTTCACCCAAAATTTAAATTGTACAAAATTTAGTACACATTAGTATGAATTTCCAGAACTTCCTACAAAGCCCAATGATCCTAACACCAATTCACACAAAATGTTAAATTGTACCAAATTGAGTACAATTTAGTACCCATAAGTATGAATTTCATACCCCAATCCTCCAATCAAGGTTTCCAGCTCAGTTGGTGCACTTAAAAGTTAAATTGTACCAAATTTAGTACACATTATTACGAATTTCCCCAAAAGTGATCCGAACGTCAAATTTCAGAATTCCAGCTCAATCGGTTCACTCAAACCCGCATTTAGTACCATTTAGTACAAATTTGTAAAACGTCATCGCATCGGATCACCCAAAATTTAAATTGTACAAAATTTAGTTAACATCAGTAGGAATTTCCAAAATTTCCTAAATAGCTCAATTCTACCCCAACAATGATCCTAACTCCAAATGTAAAGCTTCCCGCTCCAGCTCTTCCAGCCGGTTCACCCAAATCCAAATTTGGTACCATATAGTACACATTAGTACGAATTTTCAGAATTCTCTACATACTATAATCCTACACCCCAACAATGATCCTGACTCCAAATAGCATTGTTCCAGCTCTATCGGTTCACCCAAATCCAAATTGTACTAATTATAGTACGATCAAATTTCCGTATGATGACAATCGAAAACGATATACAAATTATTTGATAATATGGCAGGTCCCCGATAACGATCAATATATATTTTGGAATTATCCTCATCCCTCAATCATAAAATTCCACAAGGAAGGATTACAATAGAATATAGGTCAAATAAGTGGAGAAAATTATTTCTTAAAATTTATTTTTAATATATTTTGTAAATGTATGTTTATACTTTTTACAAAGAATATTTAATAAAAAATAAAGAATAATGAATTTACTAAAAATACTATTTGTCCCTACGCAGGCGACATAATTTGTGTGATGACGTCACAATTTTTCATTCACCTGGTTCTATGAATTTTTTGCGCAAATTTCACAAAAATACCAGGCGCCCAGAAGAAAATAGAAAGTAGTCCGCCAAAAAAAATGTAAAAAAATTGCATCTGGCAATGCCGTACAAAGAAATTACAAAATTTTAGCATACTTTTAGGCGCTCGAATTTTTCGCGGGTAGGTTGTTGCCAGACCAAAATTTTTCGAAATTTTTATTTTTTGGCGGGCAACTTGCTACATCATTCTGGGCGCCTGGCATTTTTGTGAAATTTGCCCTAAATTGCACCAAATTCCTGGGATTTTTTTTTTCAAATTCATTGCGAGCCATTATTGTGACATTGGGCGTTATTTTTACTAAGGTATTAATATTGTGAACCCCCACTAAGAGCTTTTATTAGACGTCCATAAAAATATAGACACACATTTTTAGTATTTTTTTTAAATCAGTTTATTTGTTTTATTTCAATAAACGAAGAAGTTACATAAAGAAATAACTCAACTACATACACTATTTACTTAATAGTACTTAATACAATGGTAGTGTAGAGGAATAAATTGATGAACGATGTCAGGCTCAGCGGGATATTTTCTTTCAGAAATTGCTCAAACCTACCAGGCATCCAGAACTGGTAGATAAAAAATTTAACTAATTGGCAAACTGCGACCTTTTAGCTCCGTAACATGTACCAGGTTTGATATACGGAAAAACATTTTTGGGCTCATATCAGGAAATAGATTTCAAAAAATTCAACATAAGTGATTTGGTAGTCCTTAAAGATGGACTCTATAAAAATACACTATGGCTGCTTATTTAATATTTAAAGAAATGTAAAAAAAGGTGATGGTTCCCATTTTCATCGATAATCTTACCTCGGTTCAATGTTTTCTGAAATAGCCGCATGAAGCAAACATGTTTAAAAAATCCGCAAAAATCCATCACCAAAAGTTATATGCGTTGTCCTTGATCATAACTAGAACCACATGGAAAATGTCAAAGCGATCAGCGCTATATTTCCGCCCTCTAATGTGGTAATGGGTTGCTAAATAATATCTGAATACGTAAGCACCTGTAAATATTTACGTGTAAGTCCCACATCTGAGTACGCACGACAATATAATTGGTATCAATTTAAAGGTCAACTTCTCGGGTCTATGTCCTGCAAGGGTAAATATATATACCATACAATACAAATTTTGTAATTTTTCACACAAAAGTCAGGGTCCATTTCACCCGCTAAATATATTGACCGATCTTTATCAAAACAGACATGCTTATTCTTTAGCCCTATTCCCTTCTCCATGTAAATAAATAAAAACAAATAATTTGAAAGGGCTGTTTGTTTGTATGACTATTCATCGTTAAATTTTAGCCCGAACTGAAGATGTTTGGCAGTGGAACCATACACGAAATATATGTAAACTGTTAAAAACGGTGTTTCCAAAAAGCTAATAGCCAAAAGATCACCCTTTTTAATTGTAAAAATATGAAATGGCAGTGTGTAATAAATCTTCAGAATTTCCTCTAACCATATCTGGAAACTTTATAAAAATCGGTTTAATAGTTGCCGAGATATTTGCATTTCAATTCAACGATGGTACGAAATACACCTCCTGCTCGATTCTGGTCGCCTATTACATGAAAATAGAAAACCACACAAAAATCGATCTTTTAAAAAAGACAAAAAAATTGTTTTCATAATGTCTGCTGTTGTATGAAAATTATAGCATACTTGTAGGGGCAAAGGGCGAGGTTTGAGGTGTAATTTCTTGTTGCTTGATATGTAGGTGTGGTTGTATATCACTATTGTATGCACATATGCCATGTAAAATATATTTACCTACACATACACACACTGTAGCTGTATGAAAAAAAAATCTATTTTTTGCAAGATCGATTTTTGTGGTGTTTTTCATTTTTTGGTAATAGGCGCCCAGCATCGAACAGAAAGTATATTTCGGAGCATGGTAGAATTGAAATTCAAATAACTCTGGAAATACTTAACCGATTTTTATGAATTTTGCAGCAATGGTTAGAGGGAATTCTGCAGTTTTATTACACAATGACATTATTTATTTATTACACATATGACGGTGATTTTCTAGCTATTATCTTTTTGGCAACACACAAAACATCTCGTGTTTTGTTTTTCTGTCATACATCTTCAGTTTGGTCCATAATTTAACGATGAATCGTCATACAAACGATCAACGCTATCAAATCATTGAATTTCATAACTAAAATGCGTGCTTTGTTAAGAAAGTTCATTGCGCGTTTCTTTCATTTTAAGGCTGTATAATCGATCCATTGAAGCGGATATTTTTTACTCCATTTCATATAGATATATACCGATTTCAATTTTCTTTACGAGCATATAATTTGGCGAACAATGCATTTAATGTCCTGGTTTTTGTCTCATAATTTTGGAACTACTGGAGGTATTGTAATAAAATTGATGTCATATGAAAGGTAGGAAGTGTGACTATTTCGTGATCTATTTAAAATTTAAAAAAATGTAAAATGTTTTTTTGAAAATTTATGTAGGAAGATAAATTTGTATGTTAGCGCCTTACAAAATTTTTCAAAATGCAATTTGCCGATTCTATGTCAAAGACCAATATTTATCCTTTTATTTGTGTTAATACAGTCCATGAAAGACATTTCTGAAGCAAAATATTTTGCTGTTACCGACCATCCCTTTCAATAGATGGCGTTCATGTATGGTGATGAGCAACGTCTTACAGACATCAATAGATTGCGCGGACGATGGATTTATAAAAATTGCATACCTCGTTTAATTTTGTTATAACTTTTTTCGTATTGCAGATATAAAAATAAAAGTGGTGTCATGTGGAAGGTATAATCGTATAATTTCTTGTTAAAATAAATAAAATTTCAAAATTAGTTGAATATTAATATGAAATTGGAGTTTCAAAGTTGGGTTCAAAATAAGGAGAAGGAGGAAACCGATATTCCCCATCTTCCTTTAATATGACACACGCATAATGTAAATATATTTTATAGTTCAAAAGTGATGGCAAAAATAAATAGCATTACATTTCTGCATTTGCATTTTTTAATCATGCTCATCAAATAGTTGGCCCTGATGATGAAATCATAGGTTGGGGAAAAATAAATCCATTATTTTTATATGAACTATAGGACTTTATTGTAACTTCATAATGCCTCTCTATTAGAAGTCCGGTTCTCTATTTGTAAAAAAAACAGTAGTCGATTTTCACAATCCACATTAGATACCAATTTTTTATTATTAAAGAAATTTTGTAATGCAAGAAAAATATGATAATTGCTTGGTGCCAAGTCCGGACTGTATGGCGGATGCATTCAAACTTCCCAACCAAGCTCCCGAAGTTTCTGGCGAGTATCAGTAGATGTGTGTGGCCTATCGTTGTCCTAGTGGAACACGACACCTCTCCTATTGACAAATTCTGGCCGTTTCTGGTCAATTGCTATTTTCAAACCGTCCAGTAGATATCAGAATTTATCGTTAGGCCATATGGAAGCAACTCATAATAAATAATCTCCTTCCAGTCCCACCAAATGCATAGCGGAACCTTCCTGGACGTTAGTCCTGTTTTGTGCACCGTTTAAGGTGCTTCACAGCTCTTTGACCATGATCATTTTCGCACAGTGTTATCGTATTTGATCCATTTCTCATTTCTAGCCACCATTCGTTTAAGAAATGGGTCTATCTCATTCCGGCAGTTGAATCCTAACAGATGTCACATTTTTAAAGGACCAGTAAGATGCAATTGGATCCATATACATGCCATTCTGCAACCGATACTAAATTTTTCATTTCGTCAGATATAGAAGCTATATCTAAATCTGAACCGATTTCAGGAAACTTAACACACAGCATTCTAGACCTAATTCATTACGCAATGCTAAATTTCGTGGAATTCGAAAAATATATAGGGACTATGGTGGACCATTTACATTAAATCGGACGAAAATATATATGGGAGCTATATCTAAATCTAAACCGATTTTCACGGAACTTAACACACATCATTCTATACCTAATTCATTACGCTGTGCCAAATTTCGAGAAAATCGAAAGATATATAGGGGCTTAGGTGCACCATTAACATTAAATCGGACGAAAATATATATGGGAGCTATATCTAAATCTGAACCGATTTTCACAAAACTTGGTACACGTCTTTCTAGACTTAATTCAGTACGCTATGCCAAAATTCGTGCAAATCGAAAAATTTTCAGGGACTAAAATCCGTAAATCGGACAAAAATATATATGGGAGCCCATTTCAATAGGGTTCGTCCTTGGGCCAAATAAGTGAGCTTTACCAAGTTTCAGCCAAATCGGATTATAAATGTGACCTGTACTTTGTTTACAACTTAACATCAACAGACAGGCGGACGGACATGCATAAATCGACTCAGAAAGTGATTCTATGCATATTCTCAAAAGGATCCATGGGTCTATCTCGATTCCTTTTGCCTGTTACAAACATATGCACAAAGACATAATACTTTGTACCACAGTGTGGTGAAGGGTATAAATAGAATAACATTAATGTAACTATTACGTAATTACAAACCTCTGAATATATTCTCGATGGCCAAATTGGAAGCGAACATATACCAATGTTATTAAAAATCTAAAAAATGTCTGAGTTTTTTGCAGATTGGTAACCTTGGCAAATGTCCAATGCCAGCTGCATCTATTGATGGACATGATTCAGAATTGGTAATGCAAATTTTTAAGTTGATTTCATTTCACCATTAGGGTATATAACCGACTGACACTTTTTAACCTCTTTCTACCCAAAAAATAAAAATCAATGTTTTTAAATATATTTTTAGAAAATATTATTATTATTTTTTAGATTTTTTTGTTTTTTTGCTTAGGACAATTTTTATATAACTTATTAGCTAAATAATATAAAAAAATATTTAATAAAAATAATAATTAATTACTATTTAACAATCATAAAAAACAACATAGACTTATTAATTATTATGATATGTGGGATAAATGGGTGGGAAAAGTGATGGAATGTGGGTTGGGGGTTTTTTCTTGGTTTAATAAAATTATATTTACAAAAGGAAATTTTAAAATCGACTATTTGGGGGATAATAGGGTCTTGGCGTCCCATTTAAGAAGAAATGTTGTCATTAAATATTTCCATATGATTGAATGGTGGCACTATGAATCTTATAGATTTATATGTGTGTGTGTGTGTTATTTTATGTACATTTTTTGTTTTATTTTGTTTTAATTTATATTTCATTGTGGACTCTTATGAAAACTTAGAAAACTAAATAATATGCATTTTCATGATATCTATATACAATACAAAAACAAAAAGAAAGTCTCGTGAAAAATAGAGAGAGAGTGGGAGATAGTTTTGTTTGTGGTAACCACAAAAAGATGAGATTTTTTTGTTCGAAAGAGATAGAGAAGCTTTGAGCTTTATCACTTTAATGCTGTTCTAAAATATAAAAAATTATAAAACTTGACTTAAAGCCTCACTGGTTCTTTTAACAACAAAAAAAAAAAAACTCACAGGTTTGATCAACAAAATATTTTGAGAGAGAGAGAGAAAATTTTGAAAACTACTGTTCTTTTTACCTCATGAAGGAAAGCATATTTGTTCGCTAATTTAAAATCCCTTTAAAGCTTTTTTGTTCGTTTTAGCGAATTTTGAATTTACTCTCTCTCTCTCTGTTATTTTTAGTGAATTTCTTTTCAACTTTTTGTGGTTCTGAGCTGCCTTTTCTCACTTCTCTGTGCTACTCTTCCGTAACGACTTTCTCTTTGTTTTTGTTCGAAGAGGTGGGGGGAGGTGGGGAAGATGTTATCTATACTAAACCACAGATTTTTGTTTTAATTCGTTTGTTTTATAAATATGTTTGTTTTTGTTTTTTTTTTTATAGCTATTTTGTTTTTGTTGTTGTTGTAAATCTATAATATAAAATACATGTTGTTATTGAACACAGCTTCTAGGGGGTAAAAGAATAGAATTTGTTCTTTTTTGTTGTTTAACGATTTCTCTTTTGATCTGATTTCTTTTTAGGTTGTTTTTGTTGTTGTTGGTTTTTAACTAACAAATTGAACTATTTTTGTTGTTGTTTTGATGTTTCATATGCGATTTCAAGGCTAATACAAATTTACGTATACTTAATTTCTTTGGAAATTTGTTTTTTTTGCGGAGAGAGTATCTTTTTTTGAAAGAGATTTAAAAGCTTTTTTCAGATTGTTTTGATGTGAGAGAGAGTGTTTTCAGCTTGTCTTTACACTTTCTTATTGAACTTTCATTAAAGACGTTCTTTTAAAATGCTTCTTCAAGATACGTCATTCAGGAACTTAACCGTGCTCTGCAAAGTTTTGCAAAATTATTCCTCTCATTTGTTTGTTAAGGAACACACGAATTTTTCTAGCTTGCAACACTCATCTCTCATATTCTCCGTTTTTGAAAAAAAGCTTTGCCCGTATTCTCTCTCTCAAAAGCTTGACTCCTCTCCTTGTTGATTCCAAAAAGAAATTCCGCTCGCATAATCGCCTGTTTTTTTGCTGATACATACACCTTACGAACAATTCCATTGTTCTCTAGTTGTTGTCTCCCTTTTGGGCTTAATTTGAGCCAACATTACGCATATGATGTGGATCCACTGTTGTTGTGTTCAATTGCAACGGTCTTGGTGTTAGACACACTTTAAAAGCTTCGGGGGTAATTGTTGCACCTACATTGCCCTTTAAACTCGGCAATGGCTGTCCTTCGGGTAGTGTAATATGAAAGGAGTGCATAAACGATGCAAAGAACAAGAACAGTTCCATTCGAGCCAATACATCACCCAAACACATACGACGACCCACACCGAATGGTATAAAGTACTCGGGCTTATGTACTTTACCTTCGGAATCGAGAAAACGACGAGGATTAAATTCTTCGGGTTTCTCCCATAAATTGGGATCCATATGGACGCTGTTGATGAGTGGGATGACATGTGAGCCGGCTGGGATTTTGTAGCCATTCACTTCGACATCTCTGTAAAGAGAAAGGAGAAAAAGAAAGGGGGAAATAAGTAAAATTGGTTAAATTTGTATAAAATTAAAAAAAAATTAGAAATGGTTTTCACTTTGTTTGTGTTATTTTGTATAAAATACGAAGAGAGAGCTTTTCAAATTATCTCTCTCCCACCTTGTCTCCTCTCGCCATTCTTTGTTATATCTCTTTCTAAATTTAGAAAATGCCCAAGACCCTGTGAGAAAGTTCTTCAAATTGTATCTCTCTTGATCTTAACCTCTTCTCACCCTTATTTATTTGTTGTTTTCCCACCAAGTGATTGAGAATTATTGTTAATGAAATTTCATAAACTAACTAACTAAATCACTGTGTGACACAGTTTCTATTATTGTTTATCTAACAAAGTGTTTGGGTTCAGTGAACTCAGAAAAACACACACAAATGCAGCGGCACACAATAATAACAATTGAGGCAATTTAGAAGACAACACTTTGAGAAAATACCCACAAAAAAGCCGGCCGGTATATCGAGATATTGTGCACAGACACACAAGTTGCATTGCCACGGAAACAATATTAGCATTGTTGTTGTTGTTGTGATATCTTTAACAAGTGCAGATTGGAAAATTACAAATAAGAAACCACAAACCAAACAACAATAAGCTCACGTGTTACACGATGGCCAGGGGGCCAAGACACATCAAGAAGCAGAGAGGAGAAGAAAAACAAAAAACAAAAACAAAGAGATCTGAAGTAAATTTTCCATTTTTACTATTACTTGGCGAAACAATTGCACTTCATTGCCTACAAATCAAGTGCAATTTGCAACAACAACCACAGCGACAATAACAATAAAGCAGCCGAGCACTATCGCTGTAAGGTCCGTCCGTCCGGCCGCCCGCCCATCCGTCATATGCGGTGCATATACAACATACTTGGCGAGTGGTGTGTGAAAAAATTGGCTCTGTAATCTTTTTTTGTTTTTGTTTATGAACCACCAGCAGCATGGCGCATTGGATGGCTGGTTGGCTTGCTTGCTGACTGACTGACTGAATGACTATAAGATGCCGAGTTTTAAAGGAAAGACCAACAACAACAACAAAACACGCGTTTTTTTAATGGTCGAGCTTACAAAAGTGGGACAAATTACGACGCATCTTGCGCCATGTGCTATTGAATGCATGCCAGAGTGACTGGACAAAGTGTAATGAATTAAAACGAAATAATCAAGAAGCTGCAGCAACGACTGCAACAACAACAGCAACGAAAAAAAATTCTACAAGTTTTTTTCTTACGTATGTTAAGCACACACATCAAAAGAAAGAACGTAGTTGAAGAAGAAGAAAAAAATTAGTTGCTGATATTTAAACGCATTTTTGTTCACAGCAACATCGTCACCACTATCATCCGCATGATGCTCATCATTACCTTCACAGTCCCCAGACCCTCTGCCTCTCTCTCTCTCTCTCTCTAACTTCCATGCTTTTCACATTTAACAATGAATTTCTTGATATTAATAAAACAAAAAATCCAATCCAATAACAATTGATAAAGAATTTAGAAGCTAAGCCTGGCGTGGCGTGGCGTGGCCTAAGTTTAATGAACTGCACCACAAAGCCATCGAACACAAACAAAGTGAAGGCAATCTAGTCAGTGATTAGAATACTATACACATACATATTTAATATATAAATATAGTTTTTTATTTAAATATTACCTTGTGGGTGAATGTGTGGTGGCCAATGGTACAATACTGGAACGACGCATCGATTCCAAAATGGTACTCTCTGTAATGGGTAAATACTGCAAATCTTCAATAGAAGGCAAACGATGACGTCCCACCACCTGATCCAATTCATCCTGGACACGTTTCATGGCCTCGGGGTTGCGTAACATAAACACATTGATCCACAGCAAAGTGGTCTTAATTGTTTCCATGCCGGCTGAGAATAAATCAATGATCACCTGGACAATTTGTTCCTCTGCAAAAAATTAAACAAAAAAACAAATTAGTTATCTTTCCCAAAAAGGTCCCTCTTTTATTTATTTCAACTTACCATGATTTTTACCCTCAAACAAATCCTGATCCCGACCCTCCAATTTGGCCTTTTCAATTTCAGCCAAATAGAAATCAACCAAATCCCGAATATTACTGGGATCATAGGTTTTCTTGTGTTCATCAATGACATCCTGATAGAAACGTTGCATTTCTTCACGATTTTTGGCTATCTTATTTTTGGCAGTTAAAATACTTGGGAAATATTGCACAGTGGGTATATAGTCGACAGTGTGTATTTCACCAAATAAACGCATACCCTCTTCAATGAGGAAATTGAAACGTCTAAATTTCGGATCATCAATGCTAAAGCGTACCGACATCAAAATGCTGCAGATGACATTGCTAACGGCCACCGAAATGGCAGGAGCCATATCCATGGGTTGGCCGTCCGATATGCGTAAATTGTGCATATATTCATGGACTTCAATCTGCAAGGGGAGGGAGAGAGAGGGGGAAAGAGGGATATTTAAATTAGTTTAGGGTTCATTTGAGATGAACATGTTTTGAACAGTTCTCTCCAGTGTGGAGTTTGAAAACTTACCATAATACGTTTTTCCATGATATGCTTGCCATTGCCCATATAGGTCATGCCAAATTGACGCAATTTCTCGTGCAAGAAACGTCTTTGATCCTTCCACAATTTACCGGTACTGTTGACAATGCCTGCAAAGAAAACAAATCGAAAGAATATGATTAGAAAGATTCCTCAGGGCATTCTTAATATTTAAAGGAAGATTAACTGCTGCTAACCACTAAGCCTTAATGGCGCCCAACCTTGATATATTAGGAAGTATGGAAAGGCGGTTTCAATATTGTTTCATAGATAGCATACTTAAATAAATGATTTTTTTTTTTTTGGTAGATTTCACTGTTATAGGTTTTCAATTTACTAAAATTAGGCCATTAAAAGCTGGCGCCCAATAGTTTTTAAAATATATAAAATAGCTAATGGCTAATTGTTGTGTTATGTTAGACGGTCTAAATTATATTTGTTTCTTTCGAATATGTTTATAAGGTAAAAATGGCGCCCAACGTTTTTTTTATTGAAACATTCTCTAGTTTTTGATATGCGTTTTCAAAAGACATGAAAGAGCTGATGATTAACTGTTGTGTTATTTTTGACGAGCTAAGTTATATATATATATATATATATATATATTTTTTTTTTTTTGAAAATGTTTATAAGGTAAAATGGCGCCCAACGTTTTTTTATTGAAACATTCTCTAGTTTTTGATATGCGTTTTCAAAACACATGAAAGAGCTGATGATTAACTGTTGTGTTATTCCTGACGAGCTAAGTTATAATTTTTTTCGGAAATGTTTATAAGGTAAAAATGGCGCCCAACGTTTTTTGTTGCGATAAATGTAAATAGGTTTTTATATGGTTTATCTTCTGGAAATCATATCAAAAACTATTTACATTTATCCCAATGAAAAACGTTGGGCGCCATTTTTAACTTATACAAATTTTCGAAAAAAAAATTGCCGATTGTGTGGTGATTGTGTTATTTTTGAGGAGCTAAATTATCATTTTTTCGACAATGGCGCCCAACGTTTTTTAATTGGGAAAATGTTAATAGTGTTATAAAAATGGCGCCCAACGGTTCTACCTAAACTAGACTAAAGCCACTTTTTTATACAATTTTTTAATAAAAAATGACTTTTTATGGCCAAATTCACGTTTCTCTTTAACCTCCTCTTCTCCCCGTCCCTTCCCCTCGCCTTTGAAATAAGCAGCACCAGCAGCTGAAAAATTAATGATGTTTTACAATACAAAAAAATCACGTTTTTCCATGTCTTTCAGAGCATTGCATATTCTGGCATAAATTGCTTGTCAACAAATTGCAGCTGTTACAATAATTTTAATTGGTTTTTGTGTTTTGTTCATCATTAAAATGCAGTAAATTATTAAGAAAAAGAAAAACAACAACAACAAAGATTTTGGGTGAACAGGTTTTGGTGAGGGATTTTTTGAAATGAAGTAAAAAAAAAACGATTTCCGAGCAATAAAAAATTAATCTCTCTGCCTTTTTTTGCTTGTATTAAATCCTATTTCCTTTTTAGTCAGATCCCACTGTATTTTTTTTGGTATATAAATTTATATAAATTTGTTTGCATCATCTTCCAATAACTTTGCCATGACCATCATTATCATCATCGGTAACATGGTGTTATTTTTGTTGGTACATCAAGCTTTACTATCACCAGTCGCAGCAGCATCAGCATTGTTTAACTTCAACTTGGCTCTGGTGGTTAGCCAGCCAGGCAGGCAGTCACTCAACATTGTTTTTTTTTTCATACAACAATTCCAACAAAATGATCGTAGTGTTGTTACTTTAATTGTTTGCAATTTCAAAGTAGGTTAATTCCACCTTCATATAACAGCAAAGAAACAAAACACAAAAAAATCCGAAAAAAATGAAAGGAAAAAAAGACTTTGTCTTTGCTGCTGATGATGATGGCGGTTGTGGTGATTTTGGCCTTTATCAGTAGTTGAATTTTTTTTGTTTTCATTACTTTATTTTGTTTATTTTTTTTCGTTTCATTTCATTTCTTTTTGTTTGAGAAAATTGCATAAAAAAATGTAAGTCATTTACCGCAAAAGGAATTTCTTTTGTTTTGCTTTTGCAATGGAAACTCTCCACAAGAAAAAAAATGACAACAACAAAAATTGATGGAATTTTTTTTACGTATTTTCATACGCACTATGGCCTACCTCAATTCCTCAAAGGCGGTCTGAAGAAAGTCACAATTCTTTTCGACAACAACAACAACAATGGCGTCAACACAAAAAGTTGCAATAAAATCCCATTAAACACTGTAGTAAAAGTCACAAAAAAAGCAAATATTAAGATAGAGAAAGGTAATGGGTATGGAAATTCAATAATTAATTGGACTTTCTTTTGGAAGTCCGAATTTTGGGGGAAATTGTTGTTTTTGTTGTTTTTTTAAGACAACACATTAATTTTCCATTAAAGAATGTACAAAGAATTGAATGTCTGTTTGTGCAGAAAATAAATCAGTAATTGTTGGATATAATGGGAAATGAGTCAGTTTTGTTTGGAGCGGTTTTTTACTTTTAGAATAGTTAGGAAAAATATGGGGAGTAATTTTTAGGAAATTTTAAAATTGGGAAATTAGGTGTTTTCAAAAAAAAAAAAAAAAAAAAGATATGTTAATTTATATAAAAAATTCACTACACTTAATTTAATTAAATAAATATTTAATTAATTTTATCCACCACTTTTATTTAATTTTAACAAACTTTTTCTTCAAAGGCAGATATAAATCATCGTTCCACTACAAACTATTAATTATTATTTATTTCACAGTACATTTACATTTCTGAACAAAAATATTGAATTATTTTTTAATGAGGATTAAAAAAATTAAAAAACTATTGAAAAGGGTGATATTAGAGGCTTACATTTATTTTAATGATATCTGAGAGGATAATTTTTAACCAAGAGAATGTGTTTATCTAAGAGCACTTTCCAAATTTTATTTCAGAGTCAAATATTTCGAGGTGGTGAGACAAAAATGTTTAATTAATTTTCTTATGAATATTAAAAAAAATTTTAAAAAAAACTATCAATTTTAAAATAGTTGTTTTAAAAGGTTGCTATTAGAGGCCAATGAAAATATGTTTTTTCTAAAAATCTCTTTAATTTTTAGTGGCTTTGCGCCGAATTTTCAATTGTGTTGTGAAAGGTAATAATTATTGTTTTTTTTTTTGCTATTATTCAGATCTAAGCAATTTAGTTGGGTCATAGTTTTCTTTGGCAAAAATATACCATAAAAGTAATTCTTATTTTTTTAAAATCTGGCTTCACTATGTAAACATTTTTAAAATTTTTTTATTTTAACTGATAAAAAATATAAAAAAGTGAAAATGTAATGCAATTGAAAACAAAAATTGTCTTTCGTAATTACTTCTTGCTTTTCAAAACTCACTTTTTCTAAACACATGTATTTTATAAAATTCAGCCTTCATAGCATCAATAAGATTTTTTTTGTTTTTTTTGTTTTAATTAAAAAATATGTCTAAATGAAAAATATTTTCAAATATATATATATATATATATATATATTTTTAATGTTTAAAAAATATATTTTATATATTTTTATTATCGCACTTTTTTGTAGTTATAATTTTTTATTTTCAAAATTACGAGATTTTTTGAATAAAATATATTTTTTTTATATTATAAAAAAAATATTTAAAATAATGTGCTTATAATATATCAAAATATTTTCTTATATGATTAAATTCTATTTGCTTTTAAAATGAATAATTTTTTGACAGTTTAAAATATATATATATATATATATATTTAACATCCACGATATATTCTTTTACTTTTTATTATTTTTTTTTGCTTTTTTTCCAGAAAATATTTTTTTAAACACCAGTTAGAAGTTTCTATTTCATAATATTTTTTATTCTGAAATTCCTGACTTTTTTGTCTTCCATTCCGTATTTATATTATTTTCCTTATAAATATTTATTTTTTTAGATTCCTAAAATTTTCACTTTTAAAATTAAATACATTTTTTCAATAATTCCTCTTTTGAAGCTACTACGAATACTTCTAATTAGAACTACTTATTTATCTAAACCCAAATGTCTATTTTGAAAAATATCTGAAAATAATATATTTCAAAGCCTAGTCCTTTTTTCAAAATCTCTTTAAATTTTACCCACACCCTTCCTTATAAAAATGTTTGACACAGAAAACATACCAAAACCATTCAATGTCTGCATAAATGGTGTATCCGGCCGGCCCGTAAACTCTTCCCGTCGGAAACATTCACGTATCATTTTATAATCACTCATTACCACGGTCAATTGGCTACCCAATCGCGTTGAGAATAAGGAACCATACTTCTTGGCCAATTCCATGAAACGGGTATGTTTTTCACTGCCCATAAACAATAGATAACCGATAACGGGTAGACCCCAGGGTCCTGGCGGCAGACGTCTGAGTTCACGATATAAATTCACTACCCATTGCAGGAAACTGATGATGGTCAGTATAGAGATGAAGACGAGGAGTAAATGTTGCATATCATTGATTTTGAATTGGCGAACCATAAATTTAATAAAATATGAATCGGTGAGCAACATTTTGAAGGATTTGTAATTTTTTTAACTAATGCTGTTCTTAGCGTTTTTTTTTAATTATTTTAATATTTGTGTTTGGGTTTTTTGCTGCTTTGCTTTTGCTACTTAAACTTTGTTTTTAGTTTTGTAAAATTTTATTAGCAAAAGTTCTCATGCTTTTTTCAACTTTAATTAAAACTTTATAATTTTTTTATAAAATTTCTTTTGCTTTGTTGTAAATATTTTTTTAAAAATATTTCTTGCACTTATTTTTACACTTGTATTGCCCTCATAATCAGTTTTAGATTTTGGTACTTTTTATATATTTTTATAAAATATATTTCTTTATTGTTTCATATAACACAAAATTCCATTATTTATTTTGTTTTTATTTCATAAAAAACGCGTTTATTTATTTTTTAAAAAATCTATCTTTATTTTATTATTTTTTTTAAATTTTCTGTATGTGTCTTATAGAGAGTAGACGACTTCGCGCGTTGCGTTTATAGATTTCGACTAATGTCTCGTCGTTATGTCCTTGCGACTTTTATAACAACCGATCATGCGATCGATGTTGTACGCGCTGATCGTGCGAAGTGTTCGATCTAAGCCCAAGTTATTCTTAGCAAACCTTAAAGCAAAGATCCATATGAGTTTATTTTTTTTTCGAAGCCAGAAACAAGAGCGCTACAGCCAGAACAACAACAAATTGCCCCCAACCGAACTACAGAGCGAATGAGTGAAAGAGTAAATTGTGGGGGGCCACACTCACTGCTCGTATGCTTTGTTGGGCAGGTGAGTGAAAGAGCACACAACCGTTGGCTCAATCTAGTTTTAATTGTGAAGCTTAACGTTTAACCCCGAATTAAGTTCGTTTCAAACATGTATGATAGTTGCATTATAACATGTTGTAGTTTTTTTGTGTTCGATCATTATTTGTTTACACAAATTATTACTCAATTTAATAATGTTAGGCTCCTCTCTGTTTATGTTCTGTTGTGGTTTGAGTTGGAGCTGCTCTCTCTCTCCCTCTCTTTGTGTGTTTCATTTTTTGGGGGGCCTGTGTTATCAGCGTCATATGTGATGGACAATATTTCACTCAGTTGTTTACTGCCCGCCCTCTTCCCCTCTTCATAATGATCGTGTAATGAGAGGGGAGCTCTTTCGTGTGTGCGTTCATACGCCCCTCTTAGGAAGTATTTCCTCGCTCTTTATGCACTTCATGGGTTTCACGTTCAAATAGCCTATCATTGTTGTTATTGTTTTGCTTTTCCATTTGATTTTTTGTCGACTCGTGCGTAAATAGAAACAATAAGAATACTACAATGTGTGTATGTTATCAATAATATAATTGTTCACAAGTTTTATGTATAAAATGGTTCTTAGCATTATTATTTGAATTATGTTATTGCGCTACAGTAGGGAGTTAAGGTATTATGGTTTTATTCGTTGTTTTGCAATCATTTTCCGCCTTCTAATAAAATGTTCTTAAAATTTTTGGGGAGGGTCTGTCTTGGTCCAAAGGCGTCACATAAGCCCGGGTTTTTGGAAATTCGTACTAGAACGGCACGAAAAGCGCTAAAAAGTACTAAATATGGTACCACTTGTATTTGGCGAAACTGTGTGCTAAGATGTACTAAATTCGGTACAATTTCGTAGCATGTGAACGGATAGAGCTAAAAACTTGAAAATTGGAATGCTAATCAAGGATGAGAAGTAGGGTCGATATAAGGAGATAGTTATGAAAGCGTGTACTCATGTATACGAAAAGTACTAAAATGTACTAAATGTGGTACAATTTGTATTTGGAGAAGCGAATGGAGCTGGAAGCGTTAAATTTGAAATCGTTATTAACGTCGGAGTGTAGGATTGGGATATGTAGGTAATTTTCGAATTTTTTACTCATGTGTACGAAAAGTACTAATTCCTACTATATTTGGTACACTTTGGATTTGCTTGAACCGAACACTGGAACATGAAATTTGGAAATAAAATTACTTTTGGGGTATAGGATTGGGGTATGGATTTAGTTTAGGAAATTTGTACTTATGGGAACTAAAGGGTACTAAATTTGGTACAATTTAAATTTTATGTGAACCGGTAGACCTGGAATTCTGAAATTTGTAGTTATAATCATTGTACGGGGTACATAGAAAGTTTTGGATATTTGTACTAATGTGTACTAAATTTGGTACAAATTGGATTTGGGTGAATAGCTCTATCGATTAATAAAATGTGAATATATTCTCGCTGCTGGGGTAGGGCTACGTAGGAAGTTTTAGAAATTCATACTAATGTGAACTAAATGGTACAAAGGTCATCAATAAGGCGTGGATTTTTTAAAGAATATTTTTCAAAGGTCATCAATAAGGCGTGGATTTTTTAAAGAATATTTTTCAAAGGTCATCAATAAGGCGTGGATTTTTTAAAGAATATTTTTCAAAGGTCATCAATAAGGCGTGGATTTTTTAAAGAATATTTTTCAAAGGTCATCAATAAGGCGTGGATTTTTTAAAGAATATTTTTCAAAGGTCATCAATAAGGCGTGGATTTTTTAAAGAATATTTTTCAAAGGTCATCAATAAGGCGTGGATTTTTTAAAGAATATTTTTCAAAGGTCATCAATAAGGCGTGGATTTTTTAAAGAATATTTTTCAAAGGTCATCAATAAGGCGTGGATTTTTTAAAGAATATTTTTCAAAGGTCATCAATAAGGCGTGGATTTTTTAAAGAATATTTTTCAAAGGTCATCAATAAGGCGTGGATTTTTTAAAGAATATTTTTCAAAGGTCATCAATAAGGCGTGGATTTTTTAAAGAATTTTTTAAAGAATATTTTTCAAAGGTCATCAATAAGGCGTGGATTTTTTAAAGAATATTTTTCAAAGGTCATCAATAAGGCGTGGATTTTTTAAAGAATATTTTTCAAAGGTCATCAATAAGGCGTGGATTTTTTAAAGAATATTTTTCAAAGGTCATCAATAAGGCGTGGATTTTTTAAAGAATATTTTTCAAAGGTCATCAATAAGGCGTGGTTTTTTTTAAAAGAATATTTTTCAAAGGTCATCAATAAGGCGTGGATTTTTTAAAGAATATTTTTCAAAGGTCATCAATAAGGCGTGGATTTTTTAAAGAATATTTTTCAAAGGTCATCAATAAGGCGTGGATTTTTTAAAGAATATTTTTCAAAGGTCATCAATAAGGCGTGGATTTTTTAAAGAATATTTTTCAAAGGTCATCAATAAGCTAATCTAGCTGTTCAAATACGGAGGCTCGCGCCACTTTCTTCATCATTTACAACAATAAACACAAACACACAAACTTTGGAAAATATTAAAACAAAATATTTGTTTTACATGGAGAGAGAAAAAAGTAGGTGAACTTATTTCTTTTTTAAACATCAACTGATAAAACTTTCCAAATAAACAAAATAATAATAAATTTGAAAGTGTAATCGTGATACCCTATATACAATAAATTAGACAATATGAAGTGACTTAGAACCACTGTGGTTTGGTGGGTATAAAAAGATGTAAACTATGGGATATGGAATTGTAGAAATTCTGAAAATGCAGCTACTTAGCTATGTCAGTGGGATTTAGAGTTGCTAGTCGTTAAGTTTAAACAAATATTTTGGGCATACAAAACCATATTATTTCGCAAGATAATCTTAACAAGATATATTTTCCTAATCAAAATTTTATAGCCTAAGTCGCCATGTGCATCAGGGTACTAAATATTTCTGTATATGTCAGTAGCGTACAAAAAAGGTAAGGTTGCATTTATTTTCCGAATGAGATGAAATTTGGAATCAGATCAGATTTAGATATAACTACCATTTATATTTATGACTGATTTCACATAAATATTCAATGCTTGTCCGAATAAGACAACATTTAATGATATCGAAATAGGTGCAGAATTTTGCGTGTTATGTTTTGTAGAAGTCGATTCAGATTTCTACATATATTTCGACCGATTGCATGCAACTTGTGCACCAAAAATCCATCCGAGAGGAGTGGTTGACATTTAAATTGATATCAATTTTATTCTTGTATATACTGGGAAGATTAAATATTTACAGGCGTCTACGTATTCGGATATTATTTAGAAACATATTACCCCATAAGAGGGCGGAAATGTCTCGCTGATCGTTTTGAAATTTTACATGAAATTCCGGTTATGACGACTATTATTTTCGTTGATGTTGAGATTATATTTAGGGGGTGCATTGAACCAAAAGCTTTTTTGTCAGATTTTTTAGTCGCTATATAGGCTATTATATGCAGATCATCACATATTTTATACGTTGAAGGGAATCTGACCAAAAACTTAGAACAGATAATGAACGGGCAATATTCCGATGGCCAAATCAAGCATTCACCAAAATATTCCCCTCGCGAAAACAAGATTTGGAAAATATGCCAGGGTTAGAATATGGAGCTATTGACTTAAAATCCTGGCCGTTAGTCCTGGTTTGGCAACCGTTAGAGATGCTTCATCGCTCTTTGACCACGATCGTTATGCACAGGGTTATCGTATGTGAACCATTTCTCATCTTCAGTCATCATCCGTTTAAGAAATTGGTCTATCTCATTCCGTTTGACCAAGGCTTCGCATATGGAAATACGATCCATCCTATTTTTCTGTTAATTGGTGTTTCACCCAATCATCGAGCTTTTTTTTTGAATTCAGTTTTATGTAAATGGTTCAAAACAGTTGTATGGTCGATTTTTAGCTCCTAGCAACTTCGAAAATTTCTCCGATTTTATCGACAATTTCGACACAATTATACACTTCACCACACTGTTGTACTGTTGTTGGTTCAAAACAGTTGTATGGTCGATTTTTTAGCACCTAGCAACTTCGAAAATTTCTCCGATTTTATCGACATTTTCGACATAATTATACCCTTCACCACACTGTTGTACAGTGTATTATGTCTTTGTGCAATGTTTGTAACAGGCAAAAGGAAACGAGATAGACCCATAGAATATGCATAGAATCACTTTCTGCGTCGATGAATGCATGTCCGTCCGTCG